GTAAAAAAAGGGCAAGGCAAAATACTATCAATATCAACACAGTTCCTTTATTGTCAGTCAGGCATTCTAAAAAAATATTTGTCCATAAAAATGATTCAAAAATCATAATTAATTGCACTGTAAATGAATGTTCTGCTGAAAAAAAAGAAACTGGAGCCACCGGTCCACCACCTAGTCCAAATCTGACAGTTCCATGGCCTTACCAATGGACTGGTTGTGTTGGACCACCTGATCAAACGAGGGAGGGAGAGGAGTAGTTCCAATTTGGAACAAGTGAGTCCCAGGCAGCGTGTGGTAGGTGTAGCTGTAGCGAAGACGATGGACAAATGATAAGTGTACCCAAGTGAATGGGACAGCAATAAACATGGGTGACACAAGGGGATGAACCTTCTCCAGCTCAAAAACTACCCACCCACGCTCCAACCAGGCAAGATGAGCGACCGATGTTTTGATAGTATATGATGGCAGATCGACGTCATGAAGATGGACCTGTTGCCCTATTTGGACCGGCTGCAGGGGCTTTGCTGATATCAGCAATGGCACGTGGTAGTCAACGGATCGGCAACGGAAGCGGATAGGAAGTGGTGACATCAGAAATGGTGGGGGTGCAAATAAGATGAGGAGGAGGAGGGTGGAGGTGACGGAAAAGTGGATTAGAATGGGGATCCAGAAACAACCATCAGGTGAGAATAAAAAGGAGAGGAAGGGGCCCATGGTGGGGCTAGGCAAAGGAAGGGGAGTAAGGGAAACAACAAAAGCGAGGGTGCAATGCAATGTGTAGCCAGTGGCAACGTGAAAATTTGCCGAAATGCCGAAATGCGGAAAGTACCGAATGGAAAGCAAAGGTGAGCGTGACTGGATTGCCTAATAGAGGTGGTGCTGATTAGCCACAAGTTCGAAAAAGGCAATATTAATTACTATTCCACGTGGCACTGTGCCTGTGTGGCGCAAAGGCGAGTCTTTTTGAATATTCACTTCGTTATTGACACCTGTCCATGCTACCAATCAACTTTGGTGCATGACAACGTGTAATAGCAGGATGACTCACCTGAATTCTGAATGCCTCCTGACCAGTAAAAAATTCGCCATATTGTCTTTCCCCAGAAGCTTCTACTTCCTTGGGATAAAACATCATATGTTGAGCAAAAACCGGATTCGCAAATGTGTGCTGGGCTACCTCCAAAGTGTCTTGATATATCAGATGGATTGGAGTTGAGTCGTAACCTTCCAGTTCAATCTCCTCCACTTTCCACCGAGGCCCTGTAGGTAACCATTCCATCCAAGACATGAGTTGACTCTTGCTCTTGAAAGAAGGCACATATCAAGTTTTGAGCTAGTTTTACAATTATGTCAGTATAAATCAGTTGTGATGGAGAAGAACTTACCCATTCCAAGTGCATGAAACGGTCAATCTGTGTCTGGGTCAAACACTTGCAGAGAAACTTTGCTAATTCCCATTCTGCCCTATCCTGAAATGGATAATAGATGTTATTGCGGCGCCCATAAGCAAATTGGTCAGTGTCTATTTCCTCCATTATATTCAACCCTTGGCTGAAAATATATCCAGATGAAGGATGGTAGCGAAACCGTGTACGTAGTATATCTTCCTCTGGTTTGTGTTGTTGCACCTCAGGATCTGGTCTAACACGACCTATGGGAAATTCAGTACAAGCCCAGCAACTGGTACTGTCATTCAGATGCTGCACAATGGCCACCAAGTTGCTGTATAGATTGTGACAATTGGGACATGGAATCTGTGCTGGCATTTTGAGCCAATTTTGATGGATCGCTAAGCAAAAAGAAACGCAAAAAATGCACAAGTCCTTAAAACTCTGACTATCCAAAATCTCTACTTGTTTCTCTCACCAGGTAGTACCCCTCCTTGCAAATTTCTCTGCCTGCAATGTCCTCACTGACCATTCAAATCCCTTCCTCTGATTTCTCAGGAAGTGACACACAATCCACACAATCTAGCCACAAGTCCAACCATCAATCCAGCACCACTAGCTTTTCACCTAAGCAACCCAAGGTCAACTTATCCAGCTCTCCTCCTCCCAGAGCCTTGTATACACCACGTGCTTATAACAGAAAAAAGTACCAGGTTGCGCTTGAGCATAAAATTACAATCAGAAGACTTGAGCGTGGCTCGTGTTCTTTGCCGGCCCCTTGTGCAGTGAAACAAGTATGTGTCTTTGTGCTAATCTGATCTAGCTCAATCATTGATGATGATTCTAATTTTACAGGCAGAGAAGCTGTTAAGGCATGGTCTTGCCACTTTGTCGGACAGCGCAATCAAGAAGGCCACTTCTCTCAAGTACGTGAGTCGTGAAAGAATCCGTCACGACATTCTGGCTACAGCTTGGAAGATCAAGGAGAAAAAATGTGCAGTCAATTTTAGTTCAGGGTGAAAATGAGATGTTGTTATCTGTTGCTGATGCGGAGTTGGACACCTTGAAAGAACATCTCAACATATGTGGGCTTGAGATGGAGAAAGAGGACATGGAGGCCTTTCAGGCTCTCCAGGACAGGAATGCTATTGATTTTAAGAGCATTTCTGAAGAAATTCAACAGGTGGAAGTCTATGTGCTGGCTTGTGGTTTGTCTTTATCTATGGGTAGTATGGGTCATGGCATTCCTATGGAGGATCTCCCGCCTGTGCATCTGCCATACGACTGTGATTTGGGTCAGCTCAGTGGCGTGGATGAGCCTGATTCAACTGATGATGATTCAGACAGCAATTCATCGGAACCACGAGGAAGCCCTCCTGATCGTTGTGTTTGATGTGGGTATAACAGTTCATGGCATAGTATTTATCTGCTCCTGATTGATGTACCACATGTATAAGTATTTACTGGATGTACTGGATATAGACGTGATAACTGAAGCTCTTGTCTGTGAACCAAAGAGGCAATCAGGTGGAGTCACACTTCGCAACTCAGCATCTACCACAACATTGTCATATTTTGGGATGCCTCGAGGCTGATTATGTGAGGCCTTGAGGCTGCTCATGCCATGGAAATGGCAAATACAACTCTTTGCAAACACTATCCATGTCCTCGACAGCCACGAAACCGGAACCTAGGCAAAAAAGGAGGGTAAATGTATGAGTGAGTACACATTCATTATACACCCAGCTGATACTGATTTCTGGTACGAACTTGAAGAATGTGCCCAAACCAAAAAAAAGTTCAGGTTTGAATCTGTCTGGAAAGTTGATGCAGTCGCAACTAGGACTCGAAGTGGATCTCCCTGAGAATCTCGAGGACTGGTACAATGATGAAGATCTGCATGAGGATGAAGAAGATGAAGAAGATAGCGAAGGCCATGATCATAATCCCACAACCTACCGTCTATCGGTTCCAGCTCCTTCTGTGCAGGCTCATTCAGCTGCTTATCCTTGTCCCTCCATTCCAGCTCCGTTAGCTGCTTATTCTCATCCATCGATTCCAGCTCCTTCTGAGCAGGCTCATTTAGCTCTTTATTCTCGTCCTTTGGTTACAGCCCCTTCTGCACGGGATCCTTCGGATCCTTCTGCTTATTCTCATCCATCCATTCCAGCTCCATCTGCGCAGGATCCTTTAGCTCTTTATTCACGTCCTTTGATTCCAGCTCTCTCTGCACGGGATCCTTCCAACCCCCCTGTGCATCCTCCATACCAACTGCCCACATTGTCTGGTTTTGTTGGCAATGCCCTGCCTTTAGAAGGCCGACATCTTCAGCCAATCCACTGGTCCACATTGTCCCCTTCATCCCAGCATTGTTACCAGCCGTATCCTCAGGTTTCCCGTGCTGGAAACTTGGTACGTTCCAACCAGCAGCAGCAAGCTGAAGCCCCTCATGTGCAAGATATCGGTTCCCAATCTCTGAGAAGAGTCAGCTCACGACATCTCCGAGACATGAATACCTTGGCCGATTCTGCTAGCGGCTCTCAGAGAATCATGTTGGAGTGATATGGTAGGGGTCTAGCTCCTCCTGGGATGCGGGTTGTATTAGCACATGTACCTCGTCATCCACATGAAATGATCGAGGGTGAATGGACCCATGGGGTAGTCAGAGTAAGTGTGAATAAATTTTGATTGATTATATTCACTGACATATTACCTCACTACACCAGAGGGTCGGAGAAACCAGAGATGCCGCAACAGAAAGAACCAGTAAACGCATGGTAAACGATCTGCCGCCTACACCGCCAGCTTCAAATGTTCTTGTGCCGGGATTGAACACTCCTCAACCTGGTCAGAGCCGGGTCTCTTCCCAGCCTAACCCCCCTCAACTCGACACTTATTTGGACCTGTCAGCGCCACAAAATTTGGCCCAACAGACTGCTGTGCCGCCGCCGCCTCCTCCTCGCCAAAGCAAAGCCGGAAATACCAAGCTCGACAAGGCGGGCATGGATGTGGCCAAGATGGAGATTTTAAAGAAGGTGTTTAACCAAGCTGGAATGCCCACCTGGGATGTGCAAGGTTCGATCGTCACAGCATGTCTTGACACTGGTGCACGCGCATACTTGATCCAGGGTGAGTATCCATGGTCCCTAGCAAGGAAGAGGACCATTTTCAACCATCTTGCGCTCTTGCGCAATGTGGCCAAGTCGCTATCAAAAGGAGCTTCAGAGATTGGGTATGGCCTACACATTGACATCTGGTCTAACGAATCGGAGAAAGACCATCGCACTCGGGTTTCTTCTCACCTGCTGAAGAAGCCAGAGTATCTCTTCATGAATTGCGTAGAACTGGTAAATCTTTTTCACAGTTCAAATCCCAGTTTCACTGACTCGTCTATCTACTAGGATTCAACGGGTCAGTCGTCGGTCATTTTACACTTTGAGTCAGAGGTCTTCATTTCTGTGGTTCTTCATTTTGTGTGGCGTGGTGGTCATGCTCATCTCCTGGAATCCGCCGCATCCCTCAAGTTTGCGTTTGGAACTGTTGGGGCTTCTCTGGCTTGCTGTTTAGAAGAGTCTGTGGGTGGAGAATACCACCATGAGGGATTTGCTATGGCAAAATTTGGTGAATTTTATGATTATATTCTACACATAGTTGATGATGTTATCTTGAATAATGTTCTTATGCGCGCTCGATATGAAGCTCTGTTGAATTGTCTTGTCGCCTGGGGTAATACTATATTTCACGAGGCCTCACATACAAATTTTTAGCGTGTTTTCTTGTACCATTCAATCTTATTTTCTGTAGACAGATAATACTAGTACAGTGTCTGACTACGCTGATTACGCTTGATAGTAGTTATCCAAAGGCTTATTGTTATCTAAAACCAAAAGATTTCGTACTATGAATCCGAACGATCTTATCACTCGAAAATATATCTAGCCCTGAAGATGGTGTAAGGCAATAATACTACAATTGGCTGTGACACAATGGATCGAGACTGGGACGCACTGAATTGAGCCTATTCCCAAATGGCTCTGCTTTAAAGTCGCTTGAGAGCTTTAAAGTCGCTTATAAAACTTAGATGCAGTAGCGCTCAAGCCCAAGATGGGCAATAAGCATAAGTCGTAGTGGGCCACGAGGTGGGGTTGGGGTGGAGTGAGTGAGCAAAGCCAGATGAGTGGATGAGTGGCTGGACGGGCAGCTAGATGAGGGAGGGAGGGAGGGAGGGGAGGCGGGCAAGTCCATGGTCGAGAACAGAAGGGAGGAGAAAGTAAAGGAGAAAAGAAGGGAGAAGGGAGAAGGGAGAAGGGAGAACAGGAGAGCGTCGAGTATCGTGATTGGAGAAATGTGGGCAGTGGGGTATGAGCTGTAAGTCGTGGTGCGGTGTGGGGTAAGATGAGATGAGGTTTGGTATAGCAAAAGAAAAATGAAAAAAAAAAATGAAATGAAATGAAAAGATAGAAAGAAAAAAAAACTCGTGTATGTTGAGTAAATATCCTCATATCATCTCGAACCCTTCCAAGGAAACCCGAGCACAACACCTCGGATGCACATGCAGATGTGGGATGCAGTTGTAGTTGTGGGACGTGGTGAGGTGAGAGGGGGGAGGGAAGGGGGGACCTGGTATAACAATGACAATATTGTGTTTCCTTCGTGTCATCAACGCATCATGGCATAGTTGAATCTTATTTCAGTTTTCAGTTTTTGAATATCCTTCCCTTTCCTTCCCTGCCCTTCACAGCTCCCTTTTTTTGTAGTTGGTATCTTCATCATTCATTCATTCATTCATTCATTCATCAATCTTCATTTCATCGTCACCCTTCCGCCGCCCCCACCCCCAAACTCGTATACGCCGCAGCAGGAGCAGGACCCTGCGCAAAACACCACTGCATCACGAACACTTTGTACAGCAAGTCATGGGCGGGGGCCGTTGCCATCGCGTCGGAGGTTGGCATGGCGGTTGGCATCGTTGCAGTCAGGTTTTGCGCTAGCACTGGAGTTGGCGTTGATGTTGGCGTTGCATTGGAGTCAACAGCGGTGGTTGCGCTCGGGGGGCCAAGAGCCGAGTTGGAGCGAGTCGCCAAGGAAGGCAAGGTCGCGCGACAGCCAAAGGGGGGAGATGGCACTTATGCCTCAAGCCCCATCTCTCCCCCCTCATGCGCATACCCATGCCCATGCCCTTGTTGCCCATGTCCACATTTGTACCCATGTACACCCTCCTCCACGATATACAACACCCTCTGCACAGCGCGCGGTGAGCCCTCGGGCGTCAAGAGCGAGGAGGCTGGCGAGGAGGAGGAGGGAGGCGAGGGCGGGGATATGGACGGCGTGGGCAGCAGCAACTCCACATCTTCCTTCCTCGTCCTCGTCGGTGCTGCCTGCAAAGACACGAAGGATGCGTGGAAGAGGATGGGTGCAGTGTGCGGTGTGGGGGGCTGCGAACTTGAAGGATGGGAGCGGGAGTTTGAGGAGAAAGGGGTGAAGGTCCCCTGTGCATGCCCGTGCCTCAGCTGTGGAGGGGAGGCTGTGGAGGGGAGGCTGTGGAGGGGAGGCTATGGAGGGGAAGGGGACGGAGGAGGCTGCTGCAGATGGTGATGAAGGGGTCTTTACCGTATCTACCCATACCCAATTCATCAATTCACTGCTAAGAAAATAATCAAGAAACAATGCACCCATCGTCACCCTTCTCCTGTCATCCCCTCCCACCTCAGTGCACCTGAACGCAAGGCGATAATTCCTGCCGGCGTTGTTATCCCACCACTCGCGAGGGGGGGTGGTCATCTCTGTTCTGTAGCGGGCGATGAGGAAGAGGGTGCGGGAGGGGAGGGAGGTGGAGATGTCCTTGAGGGGGATGGGGAAGGTGAAGCTGTCCCAGGGGGGGCACAACATGGCAGGTGGGGTGTCTGGCGTGGAGGGGAGGAGGGGAAAGGAGGAGGGGGAGAGGGAGGAGCGGGCAGAGTCGATGGTGTAGGTGGGTGTGGGTGGGAAGGCAGGGAAGGGAAAGCAAGTGGGGGGAGAGTCGGGGTCTGGGTCCGTCTCTGTGTCTTCGCCGAGGAAGGGGGGAGAGGAGAGGGCAGCGGGGCGGGCTGAGCGGTTGAACACGCGGACGGTGGCAAGACCGCGGTCTGGGTTTGGGAAATGAACAATTTTTGAGGGCGTAGCGGGCTCTGAGCGGGCGTGGAGGTGGTAGAACTGGGGGGCAGAGGGGGAGGAGTGTCAGGCAACAAATACGAAGCTATATAACAAAGCACAATGCCTGGTCAAGTCCTTGCTGGAAGGCGGTGAATCAGGGTATGAGAATGAAGAGTATCGGTATGAGCGCAAATCCAAACTAATATTGAACTAGAGAACAATACATTGAGTATGTACTTCTTTATATAGTGAACGGCGATGGTCAGACCGAGAAAGGGAAGTACTGAGAAAGTGGTCTGACCAGCTAGCTAACCAATAAGAAAAAGGGAGAAAGTGGTCTGATCTATCGTATTTACTAATTGTATGAGAAAATGTATTGGTAAGGGATGTGCGATTGGCTGTATCAGTACGCCCATGAGAAGGCGCTGACTCATAACCTTCTTCGCTTATCAATATTCCTCCGAAGTATTTTCAGACATAGCACTGGATCGTGGCTATGTCATCTGGATATCTTCTCGAGGGTCGACAACAAGTCTACCTCGTTGTAGGTACGATAGAACGTGAGTGTGAAGAGAGAATAAGAAGAAAAATGATAAAAGTAATAAGACACCTGCTGTAATCTCTAGTCCAAGGGCAAGAGGAGTGACGGGGATCGAGTCTGCTAACCACGACATGACGGGAATGCGATAAGAAAAATCGATTCCTCACATTAGCTCCCCTTTTATAAGACTCGTGTCCTCATGAGTCCGGATGCGGCACTTTGGAACTTGTTACTAATCCAATCAAAAAGCATCGGAGGTTTAGAAGTGGTGGTATAGTTTTCGTAAGGACGGAAGTGGAGAGAAGCGGTAATAATCTGAGGGGCGGCTGGATTTGTTTTGTGGAAGGCGGCGAGTAAATTGGCGACATGTGTAAGATTGGTGTCGGGTTCCCAAGTGCGTTCGGAGACTGGATAACCATGCCAGTGAATTAGGTAGTTGAGCTTACTACCTTTCAGTTTAGTCGGTCTGGAAGCGATTATACTCTCTACTTCGTATTCGTCTATTCCTTCCACGATCTCGGGTGGTGGTCGCGAGGAAGTTGGTTGATTGAGGAATTCGGGAGCATGGTATGGTGAGAGGACGGCTTTGTTGAATACGGGATGAATGGACTTCCAACTTTTAGGGATATCAAGTTGATAGGCGGAGGGTCCGACTTTTTGGGTGACTTTGAAAGGCCCAAAGCGTTTATCGTCTAATTTCTTCATTGGTCTATCTGTTGTGATGTTATGTCCTTCTAACCAGACTTTGTCGCCAGCTTGATACTCCCGGGAGGGGGATTTCTTACGGTCGTAATACTTCTTCAGATTCTCGTTTGCTACAAGAAGGGAGGATTTCGTGATATCGTGGAGTTTTTTCATTTGTTCGCTAAATTCTGCTGCAGAAGCGGAT